TCTGGCGGCTCGTGGAGCCGAACTACTCGGGGGCGCCGGTCCTCCCATACGGAGCAGCTGTCTTGGATCGCGGTTGGGGGCCCCAGGGGCCCGAACCACATCGGTCTGGGCGCCCTCTTGGGCTGCCGTGTAGCGTGGGGATGCAAAACAATCTGGATGACTGAAAACGCAGGAAAACCATGGGGGAAAAAAAGTAAGGCCTCAGAGAGCCCTCTGGGGAGGCCTCTTGGAAGCACGCCGCGTCGACAAAGACGCTCGGTCTGCGATCGTCGGCGTCGCGCAGGCCTGGGAGCGACTCTGGCGGCTCGTGGAGCCTGCTTGGGGGCGCTGACCCTCCCATGCGGAGCCGTCTTGGATCACGGTTGGGAGCCCCACGGACCCGAAACACATCGGTCCGCACGTCCTCTCAGCCTGCCGTGCAGCGTGGGGACGCAGAACAATCTGCATGACTGAAAACGCCGGAAAACCATTGGACACACAGAGTAAGGCCTCAGAGAGCCCTCTGGGGAGGCCTCTTGGAAGCATGACGTGTCGACGAAGTCGCTCGGGGGCTGGCTCGGGGTGATCGTCGGCGTCGCAAATATCTTGGAGCGGCCCAGCCGTTCTGTGACCCTACTGGGGCGCGCCGATCCTCCCATGCGGAGCCATCTGGGGACAAGGTTGGGAGCGTCTGGGGCCGAACGGGGACGGTTTGGGCGTCCTCTGGGGCTGCCGCGCAGCGTGGTGATGCAAGACAGGCTGCATGGAAAGAAACGGGGGAACAAAAACTGTAAGAAAACCACATGTGTGAGCTTCGGGGAGCTCTTCTGGAGGCCTCTCGGAGGCCTATGGGAGACCTGGGGCACCAGGCGGGAGCAGCCCCTGGAGTTCCCTGCAACCTCTTGGGGCTCTGGTGGCTCCGGATGGCCGAAACCTGTAAAAAAACACCCGGAAGTAAGGCCCTGGGCCCCACCCCCCATGCCCTGCCGAGGTCCCTGGGCGGGACCCCCCCGGTCACGCCCCCCAGTGTGCATATAAGTGTTCTCGTACGCACCTCTCCGAGGGAGTAGAGCTCAGAGCCGATGAATTGAAGGCGGCGTCCGCGATTTTTCTTTTTCTTGCCGTTTCGCAAGGGACATCCTCGAAAGTATGAAAATCGGTGGCACCCCTCACGCAGATCGTGACGTCAGGGTCATAAAAAAACACATGGGAATTTCAACATTCGAACATACAACCCTCAAAAACACCTTATAATTTTAATGATTTTGACCCCGATTCTCAGAGAATGGCGATTTCGACTGAGACATCCTCCCAAAATCGGGCCCCGACGTACCTTCTGGTACCCCAGACCCCGCCTCGGAGCCTCTTGGGAGCCTCCTGGAACCTCCTGGGGCCTCCTGGGGCTTTCTGTACCTTCTGGTACCCCTGACCCCGCCTCGGAGCCTCCTGGGGGTCTCCTGGAACCTCCTGGGGCCTCCTGCGGCCTCCTGGGGCCTCCTGGGGCCTCCTGGAGCCTCCTGGGGTCTTCTGGGGCCTCCTGAGGCCGCCTGGGGCCTCCTGGGGCCTCCTGGGGCCTCAAACTACATGCACACACAGAAACACAAATCACACCCAACACATCACACGCTAGACCAACATAACATAACACACACACACACAACACCTACAACGCACAGAAAACACGCACAACACAAAGCACACATCAAACACACACACACACACACACACACACACACATACACACACACACACACACAACATTCACAATCCTGGGGCCTCCTGGAGCTTCTTCCGGTATCCAAGTCGGGCCTCCTGAGGTTTCCTGGGAGGCCCTGGTACACACATCGCAAGATGTGGCAACCCCACTTGCGCTCGAGTGCGACCTCGATGTTAGATTATTATGCGTTCACCTCCTGCCTCTTCCCCATTTCTTAGGCACGCCCTGGCGGCGCCGCCCCAGCTTCCCCTTCTCCATCTCCGATCCTGCAGTCATGGTGTCTTCCTGCTTCAAACGCCCTTTCAGTTTTTTTGTATGAGCCTGGGCACACACGTGCCACTTGTGTATATAGACATATATTTATTTATATATATATACATACATGTATATGCGCGCTTCGCGCGTGCTTAGATTCTAGCTGGCTCCAGGCCTGAACGACTTCGCAGTTGGACTGAGGAAATGAGACACACGCGGTTGGAACCAGAAGTAGGTCCCCCGCCTCATATTACCTTTGCCATCAGCAGCTTCTACGGCATACGAGCAAAACCATTAGACATGCAAGACATGCACGTGAATGCGCACATGGACTTTGTCAGGATCCCAGGGGTCTCTTCGAAGACTTGGTGAGTCCTGGAAGCCTCGGGGGCCTCTTCGGTTTTGTAGGAAATGTTTCGGAAACGTCGTGAGGGTTGCTGGTGACTTTGGGGGGTGCCTGGGAGCTCAGGGGTTCTGATTGTCCTGGCGGGGCTCCTGTCTGGACAATCTCTTGGAGCCATGTTGAAGGCCGGATGAATCATGTTCCTGGAAGGCTTTCTGGGAGCAAGGATTTGTGGTGTGCTGTTTGGAACGTTTCGTCGCCATCGTCGTCGCCTCGTGCGGAGCCTGGTTGGAGGCCTGATAAATCTAGTTCCCGAAGGCCTTCTTAGAATGTGCTTGTTGGGTGTGCTTTGGGGTGGTGCTTGAGGCGTTCTGTCGTCGGTCGTCGACGTCGCCTCTGGGGGAGCCATGTTGGGGGCCTGATGAATCATGTTCCCGGAAGGCCTTATGGGAACACGATTTTTGGGAGTGTCCGGGGGGCTGCTTGGGGTGCTCCGTCGACCGTCGTCGTCGTCGCCCGCGTTGAATGGGGACCTGATGAATCATGTTCTCGGAAGACCTGCTTGGGACGCTCTCGGGAGCTTGCCGAGGTCTCCTAGACGCCCCAGGAGGGCCTATGAAATCCCAGACAAATCCCAGACAGTGAAACAGGCCAGTCTGGGATTTGTCTGGGATTTTCGATCATGGAGCCCAAGTTGAAACTCCCATGGCCTCATCTTGAGCATCCCTTTCGAGCCTTCTATGGACCCCTATACGTTACACTGTATCCTGTAACACTGCATCCCGCTGCACTCCTCTAAGGCTTTCAGATCTCTCAAATGTTTCTCTGGATTAGGGGGGTTGGACACGCGAAGGCGCCACGAGGCGCCGAGAAGAAGACCGAGAGGGGCCCAAGAGAGGCTGAAGAGGAGCTCAAGAGAAGCCCAAGAAAGGCTCGGGAGGGCTCCAAGAAAGCTCCCAGAGAGCACCCCAGCAGTGGCACCCAAGAGGGCCCTGTGGGCGCCACTGTCAGAAGGCGCTCTTGAGGTGCTCTTGGGCTTCTCTCGGGAGCCTTTTCGGAATCTTCTGAGGAGCCCAAGAGAAGCCCAAGAGCAGCTAGTTGGCCCTCTTGGAACCATCTTCGACGCGTCTTGGAGCCCTCTCAAAGACCCCATCCGTGTCCAAAAGAAGCCCAAGAGCAGCCTGGGAGGGGCACAACAACACTCCAAGAGGACCCGAAGATGGCACCCCGACAGTGGCACCCACGAGCCCCTCTTGGGTGCCAGTCGAGTGGCCTTTGGGGGGCCCTCCTGGGGTCCTCTTGGGCCCCCTCTGGTCTACTCTCGAGACCCCGTTGGGCTTCTCTCAGAGCCCTGGTGGGGCCGATCTGGGAAACCAGACAGAGCAAGGTGACCGAGAAACTTCCTCAGCCGCCCGTCGGGCCGCTAAGATCAACTGCGCGCAGCTGATCTCATAACTGGACATCGTTTAACCGACCCCTATTCCCACTGGCGTGGCCCTCGTCCCACTGAGCGACTTAGCCCACCACACGGCGGGATGTATGCCGTCTCCCTCGGGTTTCAGGGGGTAAATCCTTACCTCGACGGCGGGGGGGAGGGTAGGTTGGTAGGAGGCTCAATGGAGGTCCTCTTGGGAGCCATGTTGGGGGCCTGATGGATCATGTTCTTGGCAGACCTTCTAGGGACATTATGGTTGGGCGTACTTCTATCTTGGAGGGCTGCTGGTGGCGCTGCGTCATTGGCGTCGGCCATGCCTGGGGCCTGATGGATCATGTTCCCACAAGGACTTCTGGAAGCATAATCTTTGGGAATGTCTTTGGGGGCTGCTTGGGCCGGTCCGTCGTCGTCGTCGCCTCTTGAGGAGCCAGGTTGGGAGCCCGATGAATCATGTTCCCGCCAGGACTGCTGGGAACATGAATTGTGGGAATGTCTTGGGGGGGCCTGCTTGGGGCGTTCCGTCGTCATCGTCGCCCATGTTGGGGCGTTCCGTCGTCGTCGTCGGCCACCGATTATCGCGATCGCGTACCTTGAAAAAACCTGGGCGGGAAACCTGTGAAAGACCGAAGAGAACGAGGAGGAACAGGCAACGAGGGGAAGAAGAAGAGCAGGAAGACGGTGCAGCCAGGTGATATTACAAATATCGTCATCCGATGGACCCCCTCCAGGTCCCCATGGCCGCTCAAAGCATCGATGGGCCTTCGGCCCATCCTGCCTCTTGGAAGCAATTTCGAAGCCTCTCGGGGCCGGTTTTGTCGAGAAAGGGGAGAAGAGTCCAGGAGCATGACGGCGGCGAAGACGATGGCAGAACGGGAAGGAGGAGCAGGAGCAGGGCATCCGTGCCCCTCGTCCACGCGTGCCCCTCCTGGTGGCCTTCTGCGCATCCTGCCACCGAGGCTAGGCTGTTGGTGTGAGACTTCGTGAATGCCTGTTCGCGTCTTTGCGGAAACTTCTGGGCAGCCTGTTGGAAACAATGGTGAAGCCTCTTGGGACGCTTTTCGGGGCCTCTTCGGGGCGCACCAGCCTGGTGTCCTACCTGCTGCTTGGCACGGGCCTGCCTCAGCAACGTGCTGCTGCTCAGCACTTTGGCGCTTGGGTGCAGCCCTGCATGGAGGAGCACGAGGAAGAGAAATTACATGGGAGGGGGGAAAAGGGACGCTGGAGGGTAAAGCCAAAGGGCCCCGAATGGAATGCCGAGGAGGCCTCGCAGACTAGCACTGCCACGGGGAACGCGCCAGCAGGTCGGGGCAGAAGAGGGTGCTGTGCCAGACGCCGCCCCCTTGCACGCGGCAGCCCCCGTGCATCGTGTACCACGGGAGGTACACGTCGGCCTTTTTGGCGGCGCGCACAAGGGGGTGGGGGGAGGGGGTAGAAGGGCTTCTTAGAAGCAGCTCAGCCCTCCCCCCTCCCCCCACCCCCCTCTGCGCGTGGCTGACCTTTGCCGCGTAGATATCTCTGAACGCCACGGTCGCCTGGAGCTCTGCTTTACGCGAGGACGTCTGCCAGTCGGCAAAGGCGTCCCGTGGCACGCGGGACGGCCGGACGGCAAAGAAGTCCGTGTGCGTCCTCGCTGGGGCGCAGCCAGAATGGTCCTTGCAGTGCTCCTTGCAAGAGACGAAGACGCCCCAGTCATCTGCCGTCTCCATGAGCGACCAGACCAGCTTATCGTCGTAGATCACAACGTCAGGGTTGACCCGGATAACCCAATCGTACCCTCGAAACCATCCGCTGGAAAATCCCACGTGGGCCGCAAACTTTGCTCCCTCCTGTTTCCCTGGATTGCCGCCGAAGTGGACGATCTTATTTCTCATGGGCCACTTATCCAGTAGCACGGTGATGTTGCGTTTCATGTCGTCGGTGATATTCTCACGTCCGACGTACAGGATAACGTCCGCCTTCGAAAGTCTCGGAGAAGCCGCTAGCACCGGCGGCAAACACTCTAAGAAACTCATGTGCTGATCAGATGCGTGCGTCGTGACGTACAGCACAACGCTGAGGTTTTGTTGTTTTCCGAGGTTCGTGCGAAGTGACGTGAGCCCCCACGCGTGACCGACTTGAACGTGACCAGCGTACACTGCTACTGCCACGAGAAAGAGCGCGGCCGTCGAAATGCCGGTGAGCCACCGCGCGAGCCTGCACTGGCGGCGCCGTTGTGGGCTATCGTTGTCCATCAGGGGCGAAGGGGCAAGGTGTGAATACCTTGTGGGCGCTGCCATACCAGGCGGCACCTGCATCCCCACACCTCGAAGGGGGCCGGCGCGGCGGCCGTCGCGCCACGAATAGTTTGGGCTGCGAGTGCCACTGCGGCCGACGGTCCCGCTTGACTTGAGCCACGCCATCGTAGAAGTTCGCAACGGAATGAAGGGCATACCCATCTCTCGCTACGAATGTGTGCTGCGTGGGTCCCTCTTGGCCCATCATAGGGAGCTGAGTCCGTCTTGGGGCCCTCCGAACATGTAGGGATCCTCTGGTGGCCCCCTCGGGGTCCCTGGGGACTCTCTTGGGCCGTCGTGGAGATCTCTTGTGCGACTTGAAGCTCTCTGCAGGCCGTCTTAGGGCCCCATTGGGCCGTCTGGGGCCGATTTTGGGAACCTTTGGGGCCGTCTGGGGCCGATTTGGGGAGCCTTTGAGGCCGTCTTGGGGGCCTCTTGGGCCGTCTGGTGCCGATTTGGGGAACCTTTGGGGCCGTCGTGGCCGCTGTTTGGACTGAAAAAGCGAATATCCCGGAAACAATTTTTTCCATCAGAAATGCTTACGTTTTGCCCTTGGGGGGCCTCATTGGCGGCCTCTTGGACCGTCTCGAGGGCCTTTGTGGCTGTCTAGGAGCAGTCTTGGGCTGTCTTCGAGCGCTCGTGGGCCGTCTTGAGGCCATCGCAGTGCGTTCTTCAGCCATCGTCCAGACGACCTGGAGCGCTTTGGGAGCCTCTTGGGCCAGCTTTGGGGCCTATAGGTGGGTCTGGAGCCGCGACGACAACGATGGCGACGGCCACGGCAACGGCGACAACGATGGCGGCGGCGACGACGACGACGGCGACGACGACAACGATGGCGACGGCGACGGCGACGACGACAACGACAGCGACGGCGACGGCGACAACGACGGCGACGGAGACGGTTGCGGCGACGACGACGGGGATGGCGATGGCGACGACGACGGCGACGACAACGATGGCGACGGCGACGGCGACGGCGACAAACATGGCGACGGCGACGGCGGCGACGACGACGACGAAGGCGACGGCGACGGCGACGGCGACGACGACAACGATGGCGACGGCGACGGCGACGGCGACAACGACGGCGACGGCGACGGCGGCGGCGACGACGACGGCGGAAGCCACGGCGATGGTGACAACGACGACGACGACAACGATGGCGGCGGCGACGGCGACGGCGACAACGATGGCGACGGCGACGACGACGACGACGGCGACGACAACGATGGCGACGGCGACGGCCACGACGACAACGATTGCGACGGCGACGGCGACGGCGACAACGACGGCGACGGCGACAGCGGCGGCGACGACGACGGCGGCGGCGACGGCGATGGCGACGACGACGACGACGACACGACGACGACCAACGATGGCGACGGCGACGGCGACGGCGACAACGATGGCGACGGCGACGACGACGACGACCACGACGACGGCAACAACGACGGCGAGGCGACGGCGACGGCGACGACAAACGACGGCGGCAACAGCGACGGCGGCGACGACGACGACGACGACGACAACGATGCGACGGCGACGGCGACGACGATGGCGACGGCGACAACGATGGCGACGCGACGACTACGACGACGACGGCGACGGCGACAAAAGATGGCGACGGCGACGGCGACGACGACAACGACGGAGGAACCGACGGCGACGGCGACAAAGATGGCGACGGCGACGGCCGGCGCGACAACGGCGGCGGCGGCGACGGCGACGGCGACGGCGACGACGACGGCGACGACGACAACGATGGCGACGGCGACGGCGACGGCGACAACGATGGCGACCGCGACGGCGACGGCGACGGCGACGGCCACGGCGGCGGCGGCGACGACGACGGCGGCGGCGACGGCGATGGCGACGACGACGACGACAACGATGGCGGCGGCGACGGCGACGGCGACAACGATGGCGACGGCGACGACGACCGACGCGACGACAACGGATGGAGACGGCGACGGCGACGACAACCACGATTGCGACGGCGACGGCGAACGCGACACCAGCCGGGGGCCGCACAGCGGCGGCGACGACGACGGCGGCGGCGACGGCGATGGCGCGGCGACGGCGACAACGATGGGCGTCAACGACGACGACGTACGAACACCGACGACGACGACGACGACGACGACGACGACGACGGCGGCCGGCAACAACGACGGCCGACGACCGACGCCGGCGGGACGACGACAAACATGGAGCGGGCGACGGCGGCGACGACGACGACAAGGCGCGACGACAGACGGCAACAACAACGGCGACGGCGACGGCGACGGCGACGACAACGACGGCGGCAACGGCGCCGGCGGCGATGCGACGACGACGACGATCGACGACGACGCGGCGACAGAACGAGGCGACGGCGACGGCGACGGCGACAACGATGGCGACGGCGACGACGAGATAAACGATGGCGACGGCGACGGCGACGGCGACAACGATGGCGACGGCGACGACGACGACGACGACGGCGACGACGACAAAGAAGGCGACGGCGACGGCGACGACGACAACGATTGCGACGGCGACGGCGACGGCGACAACGACGGCGACGGCGACGGCGGCGGCGACGACGGCGGCGGCGGCAAACGGCGACGGCGGCGACGACGACGACGCGACGGCGACAACGATGGGCGACGGCGACCCGACTGCGACAACATGGCGACTGCGACGAATAACGATGGCGGACGGCGACGGCGGCGAACAACGATGGCGACGGCGACGACGACGACGACGACGACAAAGATGGCGACGGCGACGGCGACGACGACAACGATTGCGACGGCGACGGCGACGGCGACAACGACGGCGACGGCGACGGCGGCGGCGACGACGGCGCGGCGGCGACGGCGACGACCGACGCGGCGACGACGACAACGATGGCGACGGCGACGGCGACGGCGACAACGATGGCGACGACGACGGCGACGGCGACAACGACCGCCACGGCGGCGGCGACGACGACGGCGACGACGACGGCGATGGCGACGACGACGACAACGATGGCGGCGGCGACGGCGACGGCGACAACGATGGCGACGGCGACGACGACGACGACGACGACGGCGACGGCGACGACGACAACGATTGCGACGGCGACGGCGACGGCGACAACGACGGCGACGGCGACGGTGGCGGCGACGACGGCGGCGGCGGCGACGGCGACGGCGACGACGACGACGACGACGACGACAACGACGGCGACGACGACGGCGACGGCGACAACGATGGCGACGGCGACGACGACGACGGCCCCCACCTCGAGCGGCGGGCTGGGCAGGGCCACGCTGGGCCCTGCGGCCGCAGCCGCTGACGGCGCCGCTGGCGCCACCGGCGTCGGCGCCGGCGGCCGTGAAGCCGCGGCCTCGGCGACGTCACCTAAGCGGCACGCGCGCAAGAAGACGAGGCGGAGGAGGGGGCGGGCGGGGAGGCGTGAGGCGAGGAGGGGGCGGGCGGGGAGGGGGCGAGGAGGGCGAGGTGGGGAGGAGGGCGAGGAGGGCGGGGAGGGGGCGAGGAGGCCAAGGAGAGTAGAGGGTGGGCGAGGAGGGGGCGGGGATGGGGCGAGGAGGGGAGGAGGGGTGAGGAGTCCGAGGGCGGGGAGCGGGGCGGCCCTTCAAGAAGTGATCGGAGACCTCTCGGGGGGGACCAGTGACCAGTGGCCTTGACGATGGCTCCTCGGAACACGGGGCGACTTCAAGAGGCCCCCTGCCGTCCAAGAGAGCCGCCGCCACCCCCGTCGCCACTCTCCTCCCTCCCCTTCTCCCTCCTCCCTCCCCCCCTCCTCCCTGTTCCCCTCCTCCCTACTCCCGCGGTCTGCCCTTCCCTCCCGAGCGACCAGGCGCTGGGCTGGACCCGCGCCCTCCTCCTCCTCCTCCTCTTCCTCCCCCTCATCCTTCTCCTCCTCCTTCTCCTCCTCCTTCTCCTCCTCCTTCTCCTCCACCCTTCCTCCTTTTCCTCCTCCTTCTCCTCCTTCTTCTCCTCCTCCCCCTCCTTCTCCCCCTCCTTCTCCTCCACCCTTTTTCCAAACGAAGAGCTCCTCCCATCGCGCCCCCAGACTGAAGGGTAGGGGGGCCGGGCGCTTCGCCCGAGACTTTCTCATCACTGGTGACCCTGAAGTTTGAAGTTCACGACGGTCTCACGAATGGAGGGCGACTCGTTTCCCAGATGTGACTCTCGCCTGAGATCCGCACACATTCAACTTGTAAGGTTTGCAAGAATTGCACCGATGCGGGGCGATTCGTTTTCAAGCGTGGCTGTCGCCTCAATTAGCGCCGCGCACACTCGTCTTAAAAGTGTGCAGCAACTTGAAGAATGTAGGGCTGGTCGTTGACAAATGTTGTTATGGCCCTGGCGCCGCGCACATTCGCTTAAAATGCGTGTAACAGTTTCACGGGTGGATGGCGGTTCCCTTTCAAAATATGGCTCTCGCCGTAGCACCGCGCACATTCGGTTTCAAAGTTCGTAACTGTTTCAAGGATTCGTAGGGTTGAAGTCCCAGGATCGGCGTTCTGGCACGAGTTGGGACTGCCAGGACGCAACAGTATCATTGGTTCACTGTGATGAAGTCCCAGGAACAATGTTTTGGCACGACGTAGGAGCGCAACGACGCAACAGTCACGTTGATTCGCTGCGTTGACGTCCCACTAATGGTGTTTGGGCACGACTCGGAATTCTCATACATGTGTCTCCCAATGGAGCACTTCCCGCAATGAATGCAAATTCTTGTAGGTGCCTACGGAGAAAGAACGTGGAGGGAGGGCTTACGGCGACATCATTGGTGCGTCTTGGGTTTACAGCTCCTCGCCCTCCTCATCTTACCCTCCCCCTCCTGTCATCCCCCTCCTTTCCCTCCTCCCCCTCTTCCCTCCTCTATCCCTTATCCTTGTGAACAACTCCTCCCTGTCGCAACTCCAGACGTGTCGGCAGGGCGGGCTGCGCGCTTCGCCTAAAACTTCCTCCCTCACCACTGCTTGTCCTGAGGCTTGACATTTGCAACACCGTCAAGGACTGAGGGCGGGGGGTCGAAATGGGGATCTGCCTCAGTGACGCGCGCATTCGCCGTACAATGATGGAACAACTTCAAGGATGGAGGGCGGACCGTTTTCAACATGCTCCTCTCGCCAGCGCGACGCGCACATTCTTCCCGAAAGGGCCAAAATCCTGAAGGATGGAGGGCGGATCCTTTTCAACGTGGGACTCTCGCCGCAACGCGGCGCACATTCGCCCTGAAAACTTGCCACGGCTACACGGGTCTCCTCCTCCTCCTCCTCCTCCTCCTCCTCCTCCTCCTCCTCCTCCTCCTCCTCCTCCTCCTCCTCCTCCTCCTCCTCCTCCTGCCCCGAGGGGGCCCCTCCCGTAGGGGAGGGGTCGGGACCCCAGGGTCCTCCTGGCGCAGGCGGGGAGCGCCGGGCCCGAGGGGCGAAAATCCCCCGCACCCCGGGGGACGCCGCCAAAGTGCGGTTTCCTTCCCCCGGGGGGGTCGCCAGGCCCCGTGTGCTTCCCCAGGGCGGTGCTGGGTCCCCCCCAGCACTCGCCGCCCTGGGGCGGGGCTGGCGGCTCGTCTCCGTCGTGTCGCTCGTCCGTCTCGTGTCGTTCGTGTCGCGTCGTTCGTTTCGTCCCCCTGTCGTGTCGCGTCGTGTCGTGGTCCCGGGGCCGTAAAACGCGGCCACCCATGGAGTGGGTGGTGGGTAGGGTTGGCGCTGAGCACGGCTCGCGCCCCCTACCCCGACCAGGGAGCGCGGAGCACGGTCTCCCAGCGCTCCCTGGTCGCGCTTAGGTCGCGCCACGGGGGCATGGCCCCGACGGTGGCGCGGCCTGCGCCGTTTTTGGTGCATCTCGCTGGCACTCGCCATGCCAGCGGAGTCATGTGGCTGTTCATGGGTCGACCATAAAAAAAAATCCTCCTCCTCCTCCTCCTCCTCCTCCTCCTCCTCGCCCTTAGAACACAAGTAAGAGCCCCTACAGTCGGGGCGTTGGCCTAAGGAACCCTAAAAAAGGAACGAGGCCCCTTTCTTCAGAAGTTCACCTTCGATTTCCCGTCGAAAATATCAGGAAACCCTGAGGCAAGCTGCGAAACACTTAAGGAACGCGGAGCCCCTCCCCAACGAAAAGGGTTCCTTCTTCAGGGCCCCGACTGTAAGTGCAAGCATTGTTTGGGGAATGATGATAAGGCTGGATGACTTGCCCAGGTGCGGGCCCCGTTGGAGGTCCCGTGTGGGCCATCCAGCGGCCTTTTGGGGCCTCCCCGGGGCCCTCTTGGAGCCTCTTGAAAAAAAAAAAAAAAAAAAAAAATCTTGGAGCCTCTTGCAGCGCTGGGAGCCTCCTGGAGGAGCCCAAAGGGCCTCCTGGGACCGTCTTGGGGCCCTCTTGGGGCTCTCTGCGGCTCCTCGGGAGGCCGCCGTCGGCCCTCTTGGAGCTCCCGCGGGGCAATCCTGCCCCATCTTGGAGCAGCATCGAGGATCTCTTGGGGACCGTTTGGGGCTCCGCGGCCATCTTGGAACTAGACTTCGTCCACAAGTGACGAGTACAAACATAACAAATACAGATGCTTGACCTCCCGGTGGGACCTGGAAGCCTCTTGGGAACGTCGTGGGGCCCTCATGGGAAGTCTTGGGCTCCTCCAGAGGCCATCGTCATCTTCGGGCAAAACAAAAGCTTTCATGGGAACACTGAACCCCGAGACTACCTTGGAACCACACTCTGTCCACAAGTGGGAGAATTTCCCAAAATCATGGAAAAAAACCCTGGGAGCACATGTTTGTTCACTGATGTGGCCCCTCGGACTTCCTCTGCCTCCTCGGGGAGCCCAAGGGCCCAGTGGAGCCATCGAGGGGCCCTCGCAGAGCTCCTGCGGCCTCCCAGGGAGCCCCGGGGGCCGGTCCACAGAGGGTCCGGCAAGGGAGGGCGATAAGCAGCATGAGGAGGAGGAGGAGGAGGACGACGACGACGAGCAGGAGGAGGATGAGGAGGAGGAGGAGGAGGAGGAGGAGGAGGAGGAGGAGGAGGAGGAGGAGGGGGGCACATCAGGCCCTGGTGGGCTGCGGCCCTGGGCCCCCCCGGGCTGGGCTTCCAGCGGGCGTGAGGAGGGAACGGCAGGCACTCGAGCAGACGCAGTGGCCGCACGGACGGAGGCTGGCTCCTTTCTCGAAACGGGGGCTGTCGCTGGAGACTTCCCCGAAGCCTTCGGCCAAAAACTGAGAGAACAAAAAAGGTGTGCAGCAGTTGCACAGTCGGGGACGGTCCTGTTTCAAAAGTGAGATCCCGCTGGACACATCGCGGACTTGCCAACGAAGGCGCTACCGCGTTCCGAGTGGTTCGATACAAGGATGAAAGCGGTGGTCTCGCCTGGGTGGCAGACACACAGGGCGTAACTCTGTCAAGGTGCCGCTTCCTGTGGTGACACGGTACGCTTGTAAGGGGCAATGGGGGAGGGATTGGTACGGGAGGTTGATGCAGTTTGGGTTTACTCTGATCCTCCTCTTCCCCCCCGTCTTCCCCTTCCTCCTCCTCCTCGTCCTCCTCCTCCTCCCCCTCCTCCTCCTCTTCCTACTCCTCCTCCTCCTTTTCCTCCTCCTCCTCCTCCTCCTCCTCCTCCTCCTCCTCCTCCTCCTCCTCCGCCTCCTCCTCCTCCTCCTCCTCCTCCTCCTCTTCCTCCTCCTCTTCGTTTTCCTCCTCCTCCTCCTCCTCTTCATCTTCCTCCTCCTCCTCCTCTTCTTCCTCCTCCTCCTCATAGGTGGCGTTGGCGTCGCGGCCCCGCCCCCCGCAGCCGTTTCGCCTGCGGGCGGGCGCCGCGCCCGTGGCCATAGCCCCAATGCCAGCTGCCCGCACGCCGCGGGCGCTCGTGCTGCATCCTGGAGCGCAAGTCGCGCTCCCCAGCCTGGCACCGCCGCGCGCGGCGGCAACGAGCGCAGGCACGGTCCGCCTTTCGTCTCGCGGCCGCTCGCGCCACGCTGGCTGGACATCGCGGCGAACACCCCCGAGCTGTCGTCGGCGCCGACGCGGACATGACCACGCCACCTTGGCAGACTGCTGCAGGACAGCATTGGGCGTGCGCGGCCACCCGTGCCTGCGGGGTTTCGGACCAACTTCGGATCGCGCACCACATGCTAAAAGTGCGGCCGCGACAATCTCGGGAGGCTGCAGAAGGTCGAGGACTCCGCCTCCAGCAAGCCGCCCTCGTCTCGGCCCGCTTCTGCTGGCCGCCGCCGCCGCCGCGTTGCACCCGGGGATGCTGGGGCCTCTCCCGCTGCCAGCGCCGCTGAGCCCGCGGCCAGCCCCGCGCTCCAGCGAGCGCGCCAGGGACTGCAGGCACTGCGCAACCTGCAGCATGGCGATGACCACCCACTGGTCGCAGCAGCTCGCGAGGACCTTGCGAGGCT